TCGGCCCTTGCGAGACTAGCAAAATAAATAAAAACAGCTTATAGTCAGATGCATATTTTAACGAAACACATTAAGTCTAATGAGTAACTTTGAGAAAATGAAGAATTGAGGTTCTTCTCTTTTGATAAGAGAATCAAATTGAGTCAATAAGATAACTACGTATATGAATATGTTATGAAACATGTAATATTAATGAGATAAATATATCTACAAAGCATTCATAGTCTACAATTGCTATCAAACAGATGTTAGGTAATAACAGCGTAGTATTAAATAATCCATGGTGCCATTATGAAACCACTCTCGAATCAGTAACTCGATAAATTATTACCATTAAATTAGTGGTATATGGTGTGATTAATTGTACATTAATTATTCCATGTTATTACTGTCAGGGAAATCACTATGAGAGGTACTAGTGAATAAAATATAGTTGTGGATAAGATTAATGGTACAAACATACCAATTTTCACCTATTTAACACTGCAAGATCAGTGTGTTGTTTATATTTTGAAGGTGTATGAAAATAATCTATACAATAACCTAGTTGAAAACTTTTTTATTTTATAAATAAATAGTTCATTGATATACGATATATAATTTAAAAGTAACAGCATGTCCGCGATCAATAGTTTCGGAGATATGGTGCTGTTTGTGGAACTGCTGTTAGTCGGCCGAAAACGCTCCCTACATAATCAAGCCACGAAGTAACGTCACGCCTGGCTACGGTAGCAAAAACATATGGGTAATCTTTGTAATATCTTTGTTATTTGTGCATTGATGTTTAGAGTTGTTCTAATGAAAGTTGTAACATTTTATGTAACTACTCATAATTACAAGAATTTGCTAAACTACATAAGGCATTACTTTTTTCAAGTTTTCAAAGCGTAATTCATATTTTCCAAATTAGTGTTATAAAATTTATTTTGTTAATCGCTTATAATTCAAAATTCGTTATATATTATACTAGCTTTCGCCAGCGGCTTCGCCCGCGTGGACCCTAAGGAAATGTTTAGTGGGATAAAAGTATCCTATTATCTAAGTCAACTAACACCCTATCTGTATACCAAATTTCATCAAAATCTGTTCAGTAGTTTCGGCGTGATTGACGTACAAACATCCAAACATCTAAACATCCAAACAAAGAAACTTTCACATTTATAATATTAATAGGATATACAAAAACATATATTTTCAATAGTAAAACACTACGCTATTATTTGAAATAGCTCGACAACAAAAAAGCGACAAAAAGTGAAACGCAAACGTTTTTTAAACTTGAAATTGACGTGAGAGTGCAAAATAAAATTTCCTTTTTAAGGATTATAACTACAAACACAAGTTTTATTAACAATATTGATTCAACTGAAGAAGTTGAACAAGACACGGAAAGGTATTTTATATTTAAGTAATTGGTGAGTATTATATAAGATATTTCTATTTCTATTCAAAAGGAAATATCATAATTGAAGATCAAAGACGCGGTAGATTAATTTATTAATAACTAGTTTCTGTAATATATAGCCTACGACACCTGCGTATGATGTCCATTCAATGCAAACAAATAAACTATTGAATCTATTTTATACATTACTTAGCAGACCCAGCATAGTTTGACCCGCCTATTAAATTTAAGTGTAAAATATATAAACTTTAAATGATATTATTTATAGCCTGATACAAATACGAGAAAAACGGAAATAATTCGATATAAGCCTGGAATATTTTTAATCGTGTTTGTGAGCCAATTACAAGAGACTATATTTAAGAATCCATTTCATTTTAGCTACGGAAGGTATCAAAACATTAAGTCAAAAAAACCTTCATTTCCTTCACGCAAAATTACTAACACGACTTTTTTCACAAATTTTGGTTTTATTTACCATAGCGACAATGAAAATTACTGAAATACAAGTAAAAAATTTACAGGAAATAGTCATTTTTATTAAACATTATTTTTTACTTTTTTTGTACTAGACGTTTAATATGATAAAACTTTTATTTAAAGTATTTCTGCTGCATATATTTCGTGTAATATATTTGCTTCATAAATAATTATAAGGCTATTATAAGGGTATGCAATATTCCAATGGAAATTTTCATTGGATTCAAAACAAAATATACTTAACGCAATATAGTAATATCGATCGAAGTCGTATTCAATTGTTAATATTATTGATTCTTTTAATAAATATTTTTTAAATATTTATTGTCCGTGTTTTTATAAAAATATGAGTTTCCAAATATAATATTAGGAAAATTTATGTATTTCATGGAAGTAATATAAGTAACAGCGCGAAAATACGTAGATGTCACTTTATATGTATTTTGCTTATCACGCCATTGAGAAATTAAAGGAATTTTATTTTTTTTTACTAATAATCCGAACGAAAATATCGATGGACTAATTCATATATTAAAAAGGAAATATATGATACCCTCATAATAAAAAAAACAGCTGTTATGTTTTAATGTTTGATCTCTATTCTGAAAGTTGGTATTTATATCAGGCTAATAGCAATGATTTAAAAAAAAACATAGACATAGATAACATGACATGAACAGTCACTTGCGTTTAAAATTATAACAAATCACTATTGTCACTAATTTTGGAGACTATTAAAATAGTTTTTTTTTTTATAAAACATAATATGTTGATGATTATTATCCTATGATTGACAAAGACAAATCCAAAAACACAAATATTATAAAAGCCAAGTCCAGCCGTTATGCTAATGTTAGCGTAATTATGGAAGGCCATTAGCGCTTCAATTACAACCCTTTATGACACGGTTCCGGTTCTTGATTGTGAGGAAGACATTGCATTAATAATATTACACTTGAAGTAGATAGTACAATGGAAAAGTCCAAGTAATTGAGACTTTATTGAGAGTCGATTATTATTTAAAAATTAGTTGAACTGCAGCAAATATAAAATATACTGGAATAAGTTACCTACTAATGGTGGGCTTTTGCAAATAAACCTGCACATTTTTGCTAATCTGTTATAAATACAACGTCAAAAGCATCGTCAAACACGACACTATCATAGCATTAGACGTTCTATTAATCAGAACCTTTATGGACAGAAATTCGGTTATGGGCATTTGAAGTTTCAAGGCGTGTTAACTAACTCATTTTCAAAAAGATCTTTTTTTTATTAACGACTTATCTGTGCATATCGCATAATTCTGCCAATGTCAAGTGAATAAATAATTTCTACATGTAAAATTCAAATGAAATGAATCTTTCAAATACATATTATTTTACATATGAATGGTTCTTAAAATGTTGCATTATGACAAAACTTGTACCGTTGACACACCTGTCAGTTTTGATGTGTCAAAGTTTATTTCCTCGTAACTCTTAAAATGGCCAAAAGTAGGTCATACTAATAAAATGGATCATTTACCCTAACTTTGAAGGTTACATATTATTGAATAACTAATACTGTGACATTACACTGAATTGCACTCCTCGAATAGACCGTAGCGTGTTTTCCCTCGATCGATAACTTCCGTCCATCATAATAACGAAAGTCTATTTTATATCGAACAGCTTGTTTATTATTAGGTTATATTACTTTGACAACTGTGTAATTAATGTTGTTGATGCGACTAACAGTCTGACATTTTTATGGTAATATTTAAATTTATAAAAAAAAATATTTTTGAAGCTATTTCAAGTCCCATTCTATAACAGTCAATACCTCAATATAATCAGTATCGTTCATTATCATCGTCACTTTTCAGGTCATCGTCACCTTTTCAAAAGTTTATGATATTTAAATGGGAAAACTCAACACAAAGTTTCATTTATCTCAAAGCATATAATATTAATAATATATATACGTTCTTTGCTCATCATCATCAGACCTCCCCACTGGCTGCAGTGCCCTGCCCTCTGGTCATCCTGAATATATGTCGGCGAGAAGGAGCTTCGATTGTGCGAAACGCCATCTGTCACCTGCAGCTGTCATCTGTCAAGATCTATGATGCTTTGCGAAACGTCAAGTTATGACATTGACGGCTGTCATCGCTTGGGAGTGGTCTATGCTTGTTCGAAGATGGCACTTAACGTTGTGCGGCCATATTGAGTGGACGCAAGCGCAGAACTCTCCGCGTTTCGTATCGCAATCCGTTTGCATCACGTTATTATTCATGTATTTCGATTAGACAAACTAATTAATTCAATTAAATAGCTGATTTGTGATCTATCTGCGATCTTATTTCGAAAGAATATCTCGAACACTAGTCAGATGGCGGATGATGACCAACCTAACTTTCCGCCGGTCCGCCTGACCTTCCGACATATATATGGTTAAGGCGGTTACGCTCTTTGCTCCGAAGCATTATTTTTAAAATTATGCACGCTATGTAGTAAAACGCATATTTTATAGTTGTTTATACATAAAAGATATTTCTTTATTAAAATAATTAGGTTTTATTATTTTAATTAACGAACGTAAATAAAACTTTGAATTTCGTTATTGTTACATTTAACCGTTTGTGAATACGGAGCTTAAGAAATAACAACGAAAATATCAATATTTTTGGTTAAAATGTTTATAGGAAAGATTTTCTATTGAAATAATTAAGTTATATTATTTTATTTTACTAACGTAATTAAAATGTAAAATTTTGTTATTGTTTTCAAACGCACGTGAGTACGGGCTTAAGAAATAATAACAAAAATAACAATATATTTAGTTAAAATATTTTAATTTACTATACAAACCGTACATTTTTATTACTGTTACCTATCACCTTATGTCGATACGGCGCTCAAGAAATAAAGACAAAAACATCAACATTTTTAGTATAACAACATTTGGTATTGAAGTATATTTTTTTCTCTTAAAATAATTAGGTTTTATTAGTTTAATTTAATAACGTAAGTAAAGCATTAATTTGTGTTTAATGACAAGAATATCAATATTTTAATAATCAACCTGCTAGTACGCTTCGGACTGTCGACTTTTTTTGTGAATCGACACAATCTCAAACAAGAAACAGAAACTCGCTTACCTTAAATGCATTCCTGAACTTGTTCGACATGATATTGTAGAGGATCGGATTTATCGCCGTCGACAAGTAGTACAGCACACCGGACAGGAACGTCAACACTATATACACCTGTAAAATAACCATACATTAATGGATCACAATCTCTTTACTACATTTTTAATAGTTACTTTTTTCGTGTGATTTGGAAACTTAAGTAATACAACCCGCGAATGAACGAGCACTCAAACATAGACTTTTATTATAGAACCTTTAATTGAACCATTAGACCTGACGCATATTTAAATTCAGCTAAAATAGATAGATAAACGCTTAATTCACAGAGAATTTTGTGGTTAAAAGTGTCTCAATCTCTATTTAAACATACACGTATAACGTGTAATGTCATCCAATACCTTACATTACTACTATTTTTTGCAGTGTTTGATTAAAATAAGAAGGCTTTCTTCTAAACATGCATGTCCTTCGTAGACTGATCAACGCGTACCAATAGTATTAAAAACGAAATCGTGTGCATACGCTTAATTTGTCGTACCTTTTCTTTTTATTTTAATAAGAGTTTGCGGTTCATTTTTAAGTACCTACACAAGTCCCACGGTCCAAAACTGAATCCGCGAACAGATTATATATAATTATGATTTTATGTTAAAAGCTTATTAAAATAAATAAAAAAATATATACTATACTATCTGTCCCAGCCATATGTTACTTTGGTTTACATAGACAAATAATTGAGTTTTAACTATCCATCTTTTAACAAATTTCAGCTACAAGTGAAATATCATTAAAATTGGTTCAGTAGTTTCGAAGTTTATAATGACATACATTGTACAACAAGATATGGTTTATAAATTCATACATCTATACATATATAAAAGGAGATGTCCTGACTTACTGAATGACAGACAACGCACAGCCTAAACCGCTGGTCGTAGAAACTTGAAATTTGGAAGGAACATTCCCCTTAATACGTAGAGGTGTACTAAGAACGGATTTTTGGAAATTCCACCCCGAAGGCGGTCAAAAAGAGTGAAATAGTTTGTATGAAACTTCTTTGTTTATGGACCAATGTCGATGAAAATTAGAATTTGGGTAGTTTATGACCCTAGGAAGGTAGTAAGTTATATTTTATTTCGAAAACTAGCACTTAAAGGGATAAAAATGGGAGTGAAAGATTTTATGGGGAATTAAAATGTTACCATGGCAACCATTGTTTACAATCTGATTTGTCATTGTAATATACCTAATATTATTTACAAAATGTTTTATTAGTATAGCGATTAAAATTGGTATTTTACTACATAATTGACAACAAAAATTATATTAGAAAACAATAATTTTGAAAATATTCAAGTACAAATAATTTTATGTACGAAAGAAAACGCAATCTAGACATTTTGTGCTATACTAGATGGCGTTAAGTATACTACATCGCATTGTTTTGGTTCAAGTTTTCAAATAAAATTTAGTAAGAATTTTAAGCTTTCCTATACGGATGAGTAACTCTATAGTGTGGTGAATAAGCGCCTCGTTCTTTGTTGTTTAGCAAGTTTAAGAAGAGTTGGTCAAGGGATGGGTGACCAAAAATGTATTATCTTGAGTTATTCCGTGGTTTGGAAGGCACGTTATGCCGTTGATCTTGGCTGCATTTGCAGTCATTACTGACCTCTAAACCGCATTGGGCCAGCGTGGAGGCTCATAGCCCATCTTACTCAACCAATCCATAAGGAAGACCTGAGCCCTTGCTGATGAATATGATGGGGTTTAATCTCAACTAAACTGCGTAATCGTTTTGTTAAAATAAAGTTGCGTATATTTTAGTTTTCTATTAAGTTTTGTGTGGACATTAGATTCGCGTTTTCTTTCTCTCTCTTCTTTTACCCAGTTGTCTACGACATATTCATTATAATATTAACAATTTAAAGTTTGATTTTGAATTATAACAGCTGTGAGTTTAAAAGTCGACCAAAGAATCGTGATTTATATTATTTTTAAAGTATATTTATCTCGGTAACTGTCTGGTAATCTCTTGTTATATGAAGTAATGAGCGACAAGACATTTATTTCGCATGTATAATAATACATGCGAAATAAATCTGTGTTTATGTAAGTTACGCACTCACGACTAACCCTCTAAACAGAGTCGACTTGAGATAGGACATACTTAGGTTGTTTTTTGTGATTAAAGAGTTGAAATATGGAATTAAAGTTTGTTATTGTCAAGGACAACACCGTGAAACGTTATTTTAAGTATTTTACATGATATAATGATTGAAGATTCGTTTTAGACCTGCTCCCTAAGTAACAAGACCACGCGGACAAAATCGCGGGCAAAAGCTAGTATTATATAAATTAACAAATGAATGCAAAACAGTTTAATTCTGTATTATTTAATTTCCGAATACAAATATTTTAAATCAACACTTCGTTTTTATCTTCTAATTTTTCTGTTAATTATTACTGCATGTTTTCTATTAATTTTAATATCAATATGAGATTTTTTCGTCGTGTTGGAAAACTATCGCTTAGGTAACAATGTCTTACAGCATAAGTTAAAATATGATAATTTTTCATTATAAATTTTAAGCGTTTTATCTGTTGCTAAATAATTTCCCGAAACTTCGCCTACATAATTTATAACCTATTTCACCAAATGTTTCCAGATGTGTTTCCAATGTAAGCAAATAAATCAAATATTTCTTTTTTATATATGTTATGTTATTTGTTATGAAATATCAATGTTAAATAAAATATAATAATGATTTTTATGGAATCTATACTCATATTAAAAAGTAGAAAGATTTAATTTTTTATCAGTTTTTTATTTATTTATAAGTTAATGACTCAACAAAAAGGATTGACAATGTAAACTCAATGTGTTGCTCTGAAAATAAAGATTTATTTGTTAGTAACAAAAACAAATTATATTACTACTTAATCCTAAATTACACTTCATAAAATTCCTACCTGAAAATAAAGAAACGACATTTAAAGTTATTTTTTATCCAATCCCCTTGAAAATATGTATTTTTAATAATATTTATAATTTATTTATTTTGACATTACACACTTTTTAATATGTAAGCGTTTTAATAATTTGACATCTATAAATTTGCAGTATTAGAAAACCAAAGAGTTTTTATGCACTACATACTATCTAAATAAATATTAAAGAAATACTTTTTCTTTGCATATTTATATGCACTTTGCTTTCCTAATATACAGATTAGTTGTATTATGTTACACAAGTAATCTCTGACTTATGTTTTATTAGTCACTTTATTTTTACACTTAAAAATATTAGTTTAGTCAGAAGCGTAGCTTATTTTATTTCTTAATTTTTTACACTAACTTTGAAATTAATTTAGACCATAGTGAGACTCCCAATTACGCGTGGCGTTTGCTACGTTTGTAATCCGGCCCTGTTCGTCGCATATATGTGTGACAAAAGCTACATATAATTCGTAGCATCATGTTTGAACTAATTTATCTGTAAGCGCATTTTGATGCGCATTCTGTCGAAATCTATCTAATAATAAATAAACCGTCCTATCGCCAATTTTAGATTTAAAAGCTATTTTTACGTTAAGCGACTAAATCATGAAATTGAATTTGTCAATTATATTAATATTTCCGTTCCGTGATTTTTTAAAGCTCAGACTTTATTTTCATTTAGAAGCTTCAAAGCTTACTGTATTTATGTATTAATTAACTGTATAACTATATTGTGACATTGTTAAACACAGCCTCGGGCAGTGGCATATTTCGAGGATCAAAACAATTTGCCGCTCTAAAAATTAAAGACAAAAAGGAAGAATAATGTTACGACATGTTTATATGGGCTGAAAATAACATTTTCTGATTCTAATTAATATCGTATAATGGAAGATAAAAACAAAAAGAACACCTTAAAGTAAAAAAAACCTGGGGCTCTACTTTTGAGTCACTCGACACACGTCCTCCGCTTGATTACTACTTTACATTCGACATAAGAAATTCACATTTTTTTTATACAAGACTAGAACAGTATTAAACCCTAACTGATAGACGCACGATATCGAAGCGATCGCTAAAGTAGAACATCAAAATTATTTTTAGAATATTGAAATACTTTTTTAATATTGGCATTATTTGTAGGTAAAATGGAATTCTAAATCCATTTTACGTACACATTTTGCCAATATTTATTAATACAATATATAAGTCCTACTTTTATTGAAACTATGTACTATGTACTTTATTTCTTGTTTCTATTTAAAAAAAATGTGTTTTCATTACGATCATTTAACGGTTTTTAAATTATTTCTGCGTGAAAGTGAAAATATGCAACATTTCAAATTATGTTGCCAGTACTAAGATAAAGTTTGAAATGCAGAAACAATGTTTCTAACAAAGTCGAATGTAACTTACGTCGTAGGCAGCACGAAGGTTTTAAACGAGTGAATCGAAAATAAAGCTTATGTTCCGCTCGCGCCGCCACTTTTAGTCTGCCAACTTCTATATATTCTCTAAAGCCCTTTGATAAATACACCCCTGGCTTCGGATTTATCTGAAACTTTGTGTTATTAATCGTTCAACTCCTTATCGAATTATAATAGGACCTTTAAAACTTAATATTTTATATTTAGCTTGAAGGTTACAAAGAAAGTTCTTAGAATAGGCCAGTAAGTTTGAGATATATTTTAGATTTAGAATAGGGTTCTTGTTATAGTAATCGAACCGTCATTTGTGTTTTTTCGAAATAGCGACAATTGAAGTATCTATCTTGCATGCGGCATAATGAAATTGACTAGCAAAAATTTTTGATCGATGAATTTTATGAGAGAAATAATTTTTATTGTGAATTTTATCGAGATTCATTGCGACCTTACAGATGGTGCATATCTGGATCATCGTAGATTATTTAATAAAAGAAGAGATTGCTGCTTGACCAAAAGGCCGCATTTTGTATACTTACTGTCTTACCTTACTATTTATATTGGTATCGTGAATAGTGCAGTAAAGTGTATTATTACATATGATAACTCAAAATATTACATTTTTTCCGTTCATAAAAATGAGATCAAAGATAGAAAACTTTTATAATCACTGAACAAATTTATATAAGTACCATTCCATTTTCAGCTGAAGACATATTTAGTTATTCATTTTATTTATTTTTCCTATAATATATATGTATAATATATAATATATATTATGTATGTCGCATCATCTTTACGAAGATCGTTTGATTTAGTTTCTTTTATTTTAATTGCTAGTTACTCGATTACTTAATTACTCGATTGTAGAGAGAACGTGATCATCGATACTTTTAATTTTATTAGAATGGTGACACTGACTTTGACAGTTCGTTAATAAAAAGCAAGTTGCCGCCATTTTGGCAGACATTCTGTTTCCGAACGCCGAGGAGTAAAGACATCCGACGACATCACGCTCATCTCGTTATATTTTCGTATGAAAAGTGATAAAATGGAACAAATCCATGTTGGTACGCCTGCAGTGTTATTTTAAAGATAGTCCTCCGATATGGACGTACTATTTGGGCTTTGTAATAGCCCCCTCTGACTACCCGCCGACATGTATAATATATATTACCTATAATAATATATATGTTTTGGTAATTTCCTGAACCTTTACTACACTATTTAAAGTGCTTCGCCTTTTTTATTTAAACAAACCAATACATTTCGAGAACTTGAAACCATACTTATAAATATATATCAATCAATGATATTAATGAATATTAACTTTCTCATCCATAATAAATAATCGACAACATCGATTTCAGTCCATAGCACGTGAGGCTATACAAAACTGTCAATTTTCTCCATTTGATTTTAAATTTTAATAAATTATAGGTAAAGTTCAAAATCAACTTAAGTCATTTGGCATGTTGTGGTAGACTGCCGTGCGGTTGTGTGTACATAGAGATCTTAAATTAAGCACCTAAAGCTCTTGTATTGTAAAAATCTAAAACAGCGAAGGTGACTCAAGAACCGGAATCGAGATAATAGGAAGCTCAGAAACTGGCGTGCGAATCACGCTGCCAAAATAATATCCTTTAATTAAAACATTTACGCCATCAAGAAAAAGTATAGTCTTGATGTTTAAATTTAAACAAATTCTCTGAAACTCACTCAATTTTAGTTTAAGATATTTTACGCCTAATATTATAGAAAGTTGAAATAATTGTCTAGTTTATGTATAGGTTAACTTAAATTTACTTGTAAAATATTAAAGAAATTTTGAGATACATTATAAATATTAATCACTATAAAGTTCTGAAGATCTGTAGATATAAATACGGGAAGTGAGGACTTCCATTATGAGCTTCTATAAACAAAGGTTATGTTTTCAAATCTGATACCACAGAAGTGTCCCACCAAGATGAGCCAAATAAAATAAAATACTATCCACCTTTTTTCAAATTGCTCCGTCGTTTATCTGAATGAGTCGCATTACTGATGCGACTCGAGCCTTATTTTTACTCGAATCACTCGAAGTTTTCATACTTATACTCAAATAATAACCTATCACTCTTCTAATACTCAAATAAAAAACTAGTCTCTATGCACTTGAATTATTCGAATCTGCAAATCAAGTTGATTCTCTTGCCGCTAGGTGTCACTTCGCTACTTTATTTTATTTATCTATGCAGCTTATTTTTTTCTTTCTTGATAACATAAATAAATATTATGTCTAAACTCTTTTAATGTATCTTTTATTTATATTATAGAGGTATTTATTTAAAATTACTAAAATAAATCTCACTCGAGTAGTAATATTACAATTCTTTTTACGCGAGTGACTCGAATACTCGAATGGCAACACTAATTTGAACACTCATAAAGTTTGAATTGTCCCAAACAAATACAGACTCAAGATATAATGTCGATGCTTCTAGCTCTACACGCCCTAACCCTGTACACCTTACAATCCCTAACACTACAAGCCTTAAAGGAAATAATGAAAGACGATCTAATTAAAAAAAAAATTACCAAGTAAAAAGTATCAGACGGATGCTCCATTGTCTTCCCGTAGATGGCAAGCAGTCTTTGAACATGGAATGGCGCCCAGCACACGAAGAACGATAACGCCACTGCCACTGTGAACAAAGATTACAATAATAATTAATTTTAAAGATAATCTAAAATATAATAAAATAAAGAACATTCTTTTGCACTCAGATACCCCACTTAAATGGTTGTTTGAGAAATGCTTCAACTATAATACTGGTTATTATAGTTCTTAATACAAAATGCTTAAAAAATCCACTTGTTCCCTGGCACCCTTGGATGGGATCCGAACCCATGACCTTACGCAGTCCGGGCGACTGCTCTAACCACTGAGCTACCCAGGACCTACCAGGACTGACGAATCTTTCAAGCACTTGTTACTTTTCTCTACTACAGAGCGTATTCTCATCAATGTTCAGGCATCCACCCAAACAGCCGAAAGAAATATAATTACAAATATTGAAACTTTCGATAAAGATGAGACATATCTGTTCTAATTATTATATTTGATTAATTTAGCATTCACAATACCATACTGAAAATTATTCTTAATACAAAATGCTTAAAAAATCCACTTCAGGGTGCCAACATCCCATATCAGGGTAATTATTAATTTGCTTTGTTTGCCCCGTCAATCTTAGACACTGTAAACCTTAATCTCGTATAATGTTTAAATATCAACAAAGCTAAATGTCCTAGCTCAAGAACAAGTATTTATAGTTTTCGAAAACCGAAAAGCGGAAACTATATTAAATTAAAAATACAGTACAAGTCAAATTAGTTTCAACTAAATGGTTTAATTTACTATTAAATTACCTATTTAGTTTTCGAGACGTTAATGTGAGAAGTTTGACATCCAATATGTTGTAATAGCAAAGTTATTGACGTAACTATGTAGTTAAGTGAACTTAGCAAGCTAATAATTTGAATTAAGCTTTTAATCTATAAATAATCATAGCTATAACATAAGTTTTTTGTGATGTCTGCGCGTATATATTTTGTGTGGTAAATTACACAAGATGAAATTAGGACCGAAAAACGGCAGAAAATATTGATACAGCAAGATATATTATTACATCCACTCATATCTTATTATACACATTTTATCCAAAGATATCGCCTCTAAAAAAATGCCTTATCTTTGTGAGATGTCAAAGTCAAAGTCAAAGTCAAAATAATCTTTATTCAAATAGACTTCTTAAAAGTACTTTTGAATCGTCCAACATTTTTTCCCTACCACTCGTTCAGGACGTCTTTTGGCTGATAAGAAGAACGAGCAAGAAACTCACCAGCTCTAATATGAGTAATGACATTTACAAAAACCATGTCATTACCAGATCAATACATTATAAACAGAGATAAAAAAAACACTATGGGATTATAATAATAACATGATGTTTAGACTGGATGGCGGACTGCAAAGTTCGCAGAGTCTCATTGGAAATAAAAGTAAGACAGTAACTACATTTATAGTATTTATTTAAATTAAGTTATTAGCTTAAAGAAAAATGTCAATATAGCATTGTGAATGCAAAATTTATTAAAATATTTACTGTATGTTTTAAGATACTTCGAGCTTTACTTTTTTATGCCAATGGGGACTATCAAAGAGTAATCGGGCTTGCCAATACTTTGAAGCTATAAGTTACAAAGTGCTAAACCATTAAAACAACAAAAAATTCATAAAAAAATCCCAATACTAGGCAAGCCAGGGAAGAAATAAAAAAGGGTTAGTTACAATTTTCATTACTTTGTTAATTTATCACATAGTCTAAGTTAAGCACAGAAAACTAACCTCTTATTTTATTTATTTTTTCCTATTTCAGTTTCTACAATTCATATGGAATTCCTGGAGGAGGATGTTTGCCATTTCAGGATTTTCAAACCAAAAAGGAGGAAGAACACTTGTGTGTAACGTAATAAGTGTGTAACACTGCACAGACTTTTCCCATGTATGAATTTGAATCGAATCGAATTGGGAGAATAGGCAATGCAATCAACGGAAACAACAACTGACAGGGTTTTTTTTTTGTTGTTTCGCTTCAACAAGCAAATCCGTCATTGTACCAAAGACGTAAAACCTCAAAAAAATCGATAGAACACAAAACTGATAGTTTGCTATGTCATTCGTAGTACAAATTGATTTTGTAATACTAACGTTTAAGCTCTACGGATGATTTTGTTTATCAATAGAACAATCTCCACTTTTATATTTCTAACTCTTTTACTTCCTTGAAAAAAAGATATATGATGCAACAATCCTCGTAACGTTTTAACATACGTTTTACAAATAATTTTTCCATGAAAAAACTTATATGTTTTCTAGATTTTCATTTTGATTAAAGAGTTTTTAATGTATTTCCTATTCACATATAACCACTTTACTTTGGATACTTAGTAACACTTTTTCCATACTTGAATCATAATTGATGGTTAGTACATAATACTAACCATCAATTATGATATTACCTCATCATGACCAAGACCACCATGTCAACGGCGACACGACCGAACAGGAGAATAGGCAAATTCTTTTACGTTATTATGAGACAGATAGCTACGAGGGTGGATTGAAAAATTCTCGGCCTAACATTTTAATGTCACTGACCTCATTCGATTAGCTTACTCTCTGGTTGTCAAATTATAAAATTCTATCGCAATAGCATTAACGGCATACAGGCGTTGGAAACTAGATGGAAGAAGTGCATAGAGTTAAGTGGAGATTACGTGAAAAAATAAAATTACTTTTGCCTATATTTTATATTGTTTTCTTGCTGAGGCCGCGAACTTTTCAATCCACCCTCGTATTTTGAACACTTACTTTTACATTGCAAATATGCTTTAGTTATTATTCTGAGATAAATATTTACAACGCGTTATATCAACAATAGCAATCTTACTATGTTAATTCCAGTAGTCTGTTATCGATTTTGAACTTACAATTAAAGTTTACACAGATAAATTCTCAAAACGTTTAGGGAAATTCGACCTTTTATCGTAAACTTTGAATTGTAATACTAATTCCAAAAGAGAATGTGATTCTGACAGGACTAGAAATTTACGACATAACTACAATATAACTTTGACATAATGTCTAATTTTACGATAGAAATATTTTTGTTATTTTTCCCGTACTAACAAATACGTCAACTGATATTGTAAGTAATAATTTTGTACTGAATTTATTGTTAAATAACCGAGAAAAAAATATTTTTAAATCCGTGATACAGAATTTATTTTGTACGTACAAGCGTTGTATGTAAGTACAAGCAGTCTGATGTCCCCTGTGCGTTTAACTATTTCTAAATCTTCTGCATACAAATAAAGCGTACTGTGTTTGAAGCATTGTGCGACGTAATTAATAAATAAGTTGAAAATAACGGCCCTAAGTGGGATACCATTAAAACCAAACTAAGAAAATAATTTAAAAATGAGGAGCTTATGACTAGCCCTGTTGAAGGCCCTGCTGAAGTCAGTATATATGACGTCAGCAGAGTCACGTGAATCAACTGCCAATACCAAATCAGCCACAAAACTAACAAGATTGGTAATAGTAGAACTAGAACTGAAAAAGACGAAAGCCGTGTTGTTGCGGCATAAATGAGTGACATACTAATTATTATTTTTTGAAACTATGATTAATTTTGACTTAGTAGAAGCATTTTAGGGTTTAAATAATTGTGGTGAAGTTGTCAATACTGTCCCATAGAGAAATTTGAAAAAGTTTGTAATGATACTGAGTGGAAATCTATGATTGAATTGATATTCGAAATTAATATATTTTGTTGTATAATATGAAGAAACTGAAAGTATACATCGAATTTTCATATTTTATAATTACATTCAGAAAACATTTAAATTTGTCAGTAGATAAGGTATATTAAATTCCTAAGTTGGCCACACCGTTAAAAAAGCTAGTGTTAGGACACCACAATCGTTTATCGACATCGAATTTATCCTATTGATACTATGAAAACAACTATCACCTAAACTTTTAGGATTCTTTATCACGGACTCCTTGGTGGACTTGGCCTTAAAAACTAGATGACCCGGCAAACTGCGTGTCACCTTTCACGCGTTAAACCTTCTTTGGACTACAACTAACATTTCAAAACCAAAATTAGCCAAATCGATCCAGCCGTTCTCGTGTTTTAGCGCGAGAAACCAACAGAAATTAAGGTTTTTATATTTTTATATATATATCTATACTAATGTTATGAAGCTGAAGAGTTTGTTTGTTTGAACGTGCTAATCTCAGGAACTACTGGTTCGAATTGAAAAATTATTTATGTTTTGAATAGACCGTCGATTTATCGAGGAAGGCTTTAGGCTATATAACATCACGCTGCAACTATTAGGAGCGAAGAAATAATGGAAAACGCGGTCGAAGTCGCTGGCGGCTACTAGTTTTACATAAATGCCATTGTATTTTTTTGAATATTACAACATTGAATATATCTATAATAATATATAATGAAGAGGTAAGATTTGATTGTTGTTTGTACTGAACCGATTATAAAAAAAAATCACTCATGGAATGCTTCATCATACGCGGATAAAATAGGCTATAATTATACTAGCGAAGTCTTGGGAAAACAGCTACTTCATTAATATTGAGATTACTGATAACATACATTAATAATAATAGGGATAAATTAGTTATTTTCGTTGTTTCTCTTTCTAAAATACAAAATTATTGTTTTTATTGGTGTTTTAATGATAAGTTAAAGGTAGGGTACGTGATATCGGTCGATTTGTAATTACGTATATATGGTTTTTGATATTGAGTGTCAATATTGGATCTCCAATATTGATCATAACGAAATAGGCAACTAGGTCCCTTTGCTTCTCTGTAAATTTTGAAAATAATTCCATAAACTTATATATATTTGTTATACTAAATTTCTTGTTTTACCCAGTCATAATCCCTATCATTTTCTTTTTATAACACTACGTAAAAATGCAACGTTGTGTAAAAATTACTAGTGAATCCTATAATTAGTTTTCGTTTTTATGTGGACAAAAAGTAACTCTATCTGAATTTTTACTTGATTCAAGTTTTGTGAGTCATTTGTATTACAATTTACTTTGCTCTCTCAGTAAATATCCACTGATTTTAGTTATATCTGACTCTTTTTTCTTTTTTTTTTTAAATATATTTTTTATTTTATAACTAGCTAAGTCCAGCTACTTGACTCGGGTAAGTTAGAACCTATATCAGCTGCATATGACGTAGTTTTCCTGAGGTAAAATAATTTTTAAAATTAGTTCAGTAATTTCGGAGCCTATTGTTCATTGCAAACAAACAAACAGTGAAATCTTAACTCTTCATAATATTAGAATAGATATATACGAATATGTGTGCAACTAAAGAATTCAATATTATTCAAATAAAGAAGTTATATATCTATAAATTTATCGATATTCGATTAGTCCCTCACACTATTCATTTCACGCCATTTTATAGTGCGCTACACTATACTATGTAAAACACTGTTTGCGTTCATAGCGACATGCTGCGAAAATGCATTATTAACATTTTAGTTATTATCCCCTTCTTAGATGGCAGATTATTTTGTATTGAGAAAAATGCCGATTGCTACTCTTGTTGGTTTAATACTCTAAGAATCGTATAGATGCAGAATGACTTTGAGTCATATGGATATTTTTTTATAAATGATTGAGTATAAAGAACCTCCCGTGACTCCTTTTCCAGCATTGCGTATGAATTTGAAACGTACTTAATATTTCGGTAAAACAAACTCTATACAGTTTTTTACATATCAGAAAAGATGACAGCCACCACACTTTATAAGCTATAAATACTCTAATTTATACTTAATTATTTACTTCCGTAGAAACAGAGTAAGCTGAGTATCATTAGTAGGTTCAAATAGGCAATATATTTGGATTTCATTTATCATTCTTACTAAAATTTATATCATATTTACACTGTAGGTAAAGTTATATTTAGAAAAGTAATTTCTAAGGTAATACCTAGATACGCAGAAATTACAACTCAGGAATGTACAACTATTCTGACAATAAAAAATGAGCTATACGTATACCTTTGTTAACTATGAACT